GATACCTTCTCAGTTCAAGCAACTAAACCAGAACTAGTTCCCCTGTTTTTACTTGAAAAGTTTGGCAGCTCTGGAGGAGAATGCTACAAGAATTAGGGAAAAAAATGGGAAGCGTGTTTTGTAAGATTTCAGACGTGTGTTAAAAGTGACCCAAGTTTAGGCTGTGCCCCGAGTTGAACCTCACATAACTCCAGACTCCAGTCAAGCCTGGAATGGAGTTTGGACTGTGCCTGGTTATCTCCGAGCTGCCTCTGATGTGTTGGCCAAAATGTTCACTGAAGCACAGAGATTTATGCACTACTTGTACATGTATTTATTAACCACTGATGTACTTTCCTATGTCTACTGGTTCAAAGGCAGTCCTTTGTGAAAAAAAAAAAAAAAAAAGGCAAAATATGAGTTTTAAAAACCAGACCTGACAAGGAAACCCCCACAACTTTTGCAGCCCATTTGTTTCCCCATCAAGAGAAGGTCTCAGCACTTTGCTGTAGAACAGCCTCCAGCAGCTCTCTGCTCTGGACTTCAGCCTTACTCCATCCTTTTCATTATTTTTTTTCCAATCTCAGTAATTTCCCAGAAGAAGTAAACCTGCATCTCTGGCACAGAGTCTAAAAATCAATTCTAGTTATTAGAAGAGTAACACAAAGACCCAGATATGTTGGAGGAAGATCTGCAACATCAGTGTTTGTTGCCTGCATTACCAGGGAGAACCTGGAGCTCTTCATAATCCCGGGAGTTTGACATAACTCACCTCAAGAATCTTCCTTCATGACCTTCTCCACCCCAAAATTTATCTTTCTTTCATTATAAAGCGCCCAATTGCTTTACCAAGAGTCTTAAATTGCTCAGCAGTTGGAATAAAAAGCTTCAGAAAGTAATTCCTGCCTACTCTATGCCAGGTATAAAACTAAGTCTTATGGAATATACACTGATTTAATAAGCAACAGCTTCTGGGAACTCTGTGTGTATTTTTAAGCTGCTGAGTACTTACAGATACAGTAACAGATGACAAGAACCATCATTCAATTCCTCTTCCCAATTCAGGGAAAAGAGGAACTACTGTGACTGTGCTTTGGTCACTCACTGACTGCAACTAATGAACTTTCATTTATTAAATTATAGAAATGCAGATACACTGTATCTAAACCAGAAACTTTTAGACAGGAAAATACAACAGAAGTGAACAAAGCTCACTTCTGTTCCCAAATGTGCTTCCCTAAAAAAAAAAAAGTGATTAGCAACCAGTTTAGCCCAATTTGTCAGGCTGAACCTCATAAAAAAAAAAACTTCTAAGAACTAAGGCCAGGATGGTTTAAGTTTCTCTTTGAAATGTTACTTTAACCCAGCAAACAAAAACTCAACTAAACCAAAGTATATCTAATCTATTAAGATAGCCCTGGTTACAAGTTTAGAGTGCACCCTCCAATTAAGTCCAACTTTTATAGCAGCATGATAATCCATCTGAAGACAGGCAAGCTGGAGAGCCATGTGGGGACAGCATCTGGATGGGTTTCAGTTCATCACTTCTGAGAAATAAACTGTGTAACTCAGAAATCCTCACACATAGCTCTGAGAACAAATTTAAGGCGCATCCCCCCCCTCCCCAAACCCGTCACCCCAACTGCACCCCAGAGAGTTCCTGTTCATTGTGCAGGGTCTTTTCTACCACCTCTGCTTAGGTAGACGTGGGAGAAAGTCCTTCTACCAACAGGCAGTGAAGAAATTCATGTCTGCACAGTCTCTGAGCAAACAGCTACACCTGCAGAAGGTGGAATTTGTTGGCTACCAGACACAAGGAAGGGTAATTGCTCACCCAGTGCTCTGCCCTATCACACTGATCCCAAGAGACACCTCAGACAGAAGGTCATTTATCACCTGAGGGACAGTTTAATTCAGGTTACTCCATATTTACTGCAAGGTGACAATGCAAACCTGCAGTTTCCCCCTATTACTTCAAGTCAAATGAACCAGCATCTGCTCCAGAAGCTTTAATTCAGAAGGCCATGAGGCAGATGGATAGTCTGTATAATGAACACAGTCAAACCCTACAAACAGCCCCAAGAGTCAGAATAAAAAGTGATAATATAAACCATTATTGAACTGTCTTTGGGTTACACTAAGCCACGCAGGTTATCTTTAGTGGGCTCAAAACTACTGCAGATAATAAGTAGTTTCAGAAATGGTTCAGTGCTACATATTCTCAGGGAACTCCTGCTATGTAAAGAGGGAAATATATTCCCCCACATCCCCCAAACTGCAATATCCATCTAACAATCCCTGTAACAGTCATCTGTGTGTCAGACCCATCCACAGCTACTCCAAATTACCAAAGCTGTTACAGCATTAAATACAACTATTTTGGAGCGGAAGACTTAAATAAATTTGCTCAAAATCAGTTATCAGCACAGGGGAGAAACCTGTCACCTGGCTGTTTATACCACTTGGTTGAAAGATATTTGCCTGGACACACAAATGTCATTGGCACCTTGCCTAGAATTCCAGAGCCAGATATGTATCCCAGCATGGAGTGCTCTGGCACTTCCCTACATGGTCATCTTTTTGCAAACACCGTGTCAAAGGCCATCAGAGTCCTCCTGCTCTTGAGGCACAGGCCTGCACAGAGTCTCCCTCACCTCCAGGTCCTGACACCACCACTGGTACACCCCCCGTGTGGCTCTTCTCTACTTGCTCAGGAGCTTTTCCGAGTCAAATCACAATTAAAATTTCATCACTGCCCAGCTACCAGAATTTATTATTTCAGTATCACACTGAAGCACTTATTTCTCTGCTGAACATCCACATGACTTACAATCAACTGCAGCTTCAAGTGAAGGTAATTTAAGTGTATTTGCCATTAGAAGAAAAATATCATGAGTAGCTTAGAATTGTTTGATCCACCAGTTAAAGATTCCACCCACAAAAGGTTCTTCAGTCCATCAACAAGCCAGACCACCCATCTCAAAGGACAATCATAAAAGCTTGGATAATGTTTGTTTCTCTACATGAACTTGTCCTTTCTTTAAAAAAAAATAAAATTAAGGAGTTCTACAGATGTTGGACTATCAGATGCTGTTCTATAAGCAGATTTTAAAATATTGTAATAGTAACCCTACGACAAAAAGGATACTGTGCTTGTTAAAGAGCCTGGTGCTACAGGCATGCTAGTCAGGGGTTATTCCCAAATCATTTCTCTCCTTCAGACACAGATCTTTTATAGACAGTAATTGATTTTATGGATACTGACAATTCAGAGCAGGTAAGTAAAAGCCCGCACATCCCCCAGGTGTTCACATTCAGAACAAAGGCAAAGCTAAATTTGCAAGATGAAAATGCAATCTGTACCTCTTCTGAAATAGCAAAGAATCAAGGAGAAAGTGTTGGCAGAGCAGCAAAATCCAGTGTTTCTCCTCAGTGAGATCCCCCAAAACCAGTGCAAAATACACAGTTATCAACTTGCAATTCTACCAGTACTCCTCTAAAACACCAAAACCCACAAATGTATTCCTATGACATCGACTCCTTCCAAAACTCCCGTTCCATCAGTGACATTTAAAAAAGCAGGATAAGGATTTGGAGTGGAGAATCTCCTGCAGAATCTGTAATTTATCCAGCCCTGTTCCCCTTCAAAGGACACGGCAAACGTCAGCCCGAAACCAAAGCTCCTTGCACAGCTCCCAGCTTTGCCTGTGCAGAGCAGGAACAGCGAGTCAAAGAGCACAGCCAGTGACAAGGTATCACAATCCCCCCCTAATTTCTGCTATCAGCACTCTGGATTTGTACTTGGGAGCTGAATCATCCTGTGCACAAAACGGAGGCTCGAGACGGGGCTCAGCGAGCGCTAAAGTTTCTCAAGGAATGAAAGCTGGGCTGGCAGCCAACACCAACTTCATTTTGAGTGCACACTCTCCCTGCCTGCTAATTAAAACAGGAGGAGAGGCAAGTTTAAGGGTATATATTTATCTCCTCTTGAGACAGCTACCACCTCTAAAAATCAAAGTGACACTTGTGAAAAGCGAGGTTTGATGTACACCCTGAATTGTTCCCAAAGGAACAATCGCTCAGTTAACAGTTGATGATGACCTACAAAAGATGAGGGTGCAATCACTCCTGACACCCAGCAAGAACCACCTACATTTAGCTGGGAAGGAATAGGAAACACTGAAGTCATCAATAAGCCAGTTTAGAGAATGAATTCTTGCTATGGCATTATCACCAAAACGATGGAGTTTTAGCTAACAGTGCATGACACTTACATTTTTGCACTCCTTCCAAATAAAGATACACCTTTTAGAGCAAATCTAGGATATCAGAGAGCTCATGGCAAAAGTCCACTCTCAAGACAGTCCCTTCAAATGCTTACAAAGGAGAAATGGGAAGCTCTGCTCTAAATAGTTTATCTGTTTGAGATCTCCTTCACAGCAATAGGCAAAAGAAGCACTAAAAAATGAAGAAAGATGAGAAAACAGCGCTGTCACATGCCAGCCACACCAGCTGAGAGGACAGAGGACATTTGTGAAGAGAAGTTCAAAGGCTCTGCTACTGCAAGGGTAAGAGTTGAAAAAACACATTCAATGAAAACTCAGAGTATGACTAAAAAGAAAAAAAGTATCTCAGAGCTCCCAAACCTAAGGAAACACATTTAAAAGCAAGGAAAAAGGTATTCTGCAATAGAACACCAGATAAATTGTAGGACACTCTGAAACCAGGCATTAGAAAACAACATTTTAGAGTTGTGACAAGTGTTAAAACCACCACTCCAATTAAGATGCTTTGCTTTTAGACCTACCAATTAAACTAAGTGGCAATTTGAAAAACAATCCCCTCAGTGCAAATGCACATTTAAGGTAATTACAGACAAAGAGAAACAAGACTGTTCATAAGTGAAGTATATACTTAGGAGGCTCTGAAAACTCAAATCATCAAGACAAAGCCCCCCCCCCCCCCCAAGAATTTTACATGAATATTCTGACACATGTATGTACTACACAAAGGGGTCTTACCTGCCACTTCCACAATATCCCCTGGGACAATGTCTCTGGCTTTAATCCTCTGCACACTTTTCCGGTCCTGTCGGTACACTTTGCCCATTTCTGGTTCATACTCCTTAAGAGCTTCAATAGCATTTTCAGCATTTCTTTCCTAAAAGACAGCAAAAAAAAAAAAAAAAAAAAAAAAAAAGTGTCATTTCCAAAGCCCTCAAGGAAAAATAAGTAGGTCAAATGTGATTTTTCAAAAGCATTATTATCATATGAATACTACCAACTCAGCTCGGCTCCATTTTTTCACACACAACATTTTGTGAGCTCTCCCTCCACCTCCCCTTGTGAGGTTGCTGACTGGAAATCTTTACAGCCTAATTCAGGTGTTTGTGGGCAGTTAGAACCTCGACATTGCATATTTAAACCCTGCAGCATTTTCCATCAAAAATATCCCGTGTCGTTGCAGGGAGGCCGCACAAAGAATTCTATGTTACATCCATATGTAACGTGCTTTTTGACATAAAAAAAAACCTAAAAAGAAATAAGATTCATGGATATAAGTCTTGGCTGTTCCTTACCAGCTGGAGCAGCTTAGACTCAGACTGGAGTGGACAAGCACTACTGAATTTCACTTACTGGCAGAAATCAAGGATCAAGTTAAGACAAAACTCAAACAACATAAAATCAACTTCGTTTCAGCAAATCGAGTGACTCAGAAGTGAAATTAAAGCAGACTAGAAACTTTCTCAGAATCTCTTAATTTATAAAATTGGATGAACCCCCACATATGACAACCTTTTTTATTTCCATTAACAGCTTTCCTGTCTCAGCTGCAGTTCTCTCACTGAGCACTACCAGAGATTGGGATCAATATTGTGATGTTACCTGGATAAAGGACAACATAAGAACCAGCAGCTTTTCAGTGTTCCTTCTCCAGCTCTTGGAGAAGGAACTTATTTTCCATTTCCCTGTCTATTGACAAGTCCAAACGTCATTTAGCCCTGATAATTACAGATAATGGGAGGGTGCACACAGTTTTTACACCGTCTGCCCTTCAAATACACATCAGCTTTTCCAGATAATAAAAAATTCCTCCTGCATGTCAAAGCAGAAACAGAACCATCAGAAATTCAAGGGTTGAAGGACTTGGTACTTCCACGTTAACAGTGCAGCTGAAAATGAGCATTAACAAAACTACCTTGAGGAATTAGAATTTACATGGCACAGCTCAGGGCCAGGCAGTGCAGATACCAGCACAGACTCATAAAGCTGGAATTAATACCAGCCTCATATTCCACCAGGTAAATTAATTCTCTTCCTCAACACAATAATGCTGATATTGCTTTTCTGTGGATGAACTGGGAGCCAACATTAGACAAAACTCTAAAAAGTGCAAAATAAGGTCCTACAAACGGAAAGTGACTTCAACACAAGTTTTCCTTCAAAAAAAAGACATACAAAGCAATTCAACATGACCCAGATGGCCAAGAAGGACATCCTGGCCTATAACAATGTGGCCAGCAGGACCAGAGCAGAGACCACCCCCTGTGCTGGGCACTGCTGAGGTACCTCCAATCCTGGGGTCAGGTTTGGGCCCCTCACAAGAAGAAAGACATTGAGGGGCTGGAGAGTTGTCCAGAGAAGGGAATGGAACTGGGAAAGGCTCTGGAGCACCAGGAGCAGCTGAGGGGGCTCAACCTGCAGAAAAGGAGGCTCAGGGAGATCTCGTCCCTCCCTCGAACAAGTGACAGGACAAGAGGAAATGTCCTCCAGTTGCACCAGGGGAGGTTTCGATTGGCAACTGGAACAATTTCTTCACCAAAAAGGTTGCCAAGCATCAGAACAGGCTGCTCAGGGAAGGGGCTGAGTCACCATATCTGCAGGTATTCAAGACACACAGATGTGGCCCTTTGGGCCACAGTTTAGCGGTGACATTGGCAGCACTTGGGCTAACGGCTGCACTTGATGATCCAAAAGATCTTTTCCAGCCTCAAGGATTCTGTGATTCAGCTGGTTCAGCCAGCTCAGTGTGCTACACTCAATCTCCTTGCACCCAGTTTGCCTGGAGTTGTGGCAGCCAGACCATCCTGCCAGGCACTGAAGCACTCACAGATGGCTCTCTGGGGACAGTGCACCTGAGAGGGAAGGTTGAGGGCAATGACTCAGTTGCTCACATCCAGTACCTGTAGGAACACATACATTTATGGGTGGAGACTCTGCACTGTGACTGATTTTCCATGCCCAGTAAAACAAGGGAATGAGTCATTTAATCTGTGCAGCAACTCTTTGTTTCACAATGAAGTTCACTGCATGCAGAAATATAGAGAGAGGTATTCTTGGCACACTGTCTTGCCTGAAAAAAATTGATTATTTCCTACAACAGGGCACACAGCTACACAAGAAAATCCCCAAGCTGCACAGAGAGCTTTGCCTTCCATTTCACGCTTACAATCGGCAGCTGCAGAGTTGTAGCTCAGAGTTTCAAGTTAAACATTAACTCTTGCACAACTACTTTATGAAGACTTGAATATAAAATGACTCTTAAGGGGGTAATGCTGTTACTTCTGGATCAACGTGACCTCCTCCCTCCACACCAGCTCCAGCAGTTGTGCAGCAAGCTGGGAACTGCTAAAAACTGATTTTTTTTGAAGATAGTCTTCAGCCAGCTCACTTGGGCCAGTACAAAGCAGAGCACAGCAGGCAGCAATGCCACTTCTTCCAGCATGCAGGGTCCTCTCTAACACATTCTAAACATTAACAGGACTTCTCCTCTTGATTTTTGTTGTTATTTTGGAAAGTTTGCCTTTTTTTTTTCTAAAGTATGAAACCTAATGCACTAAGATAGCCAGTGATTATTGCACATTAGCACCACCCCTTTAAAAAAAAAAAATTAAAAAAAACCCCAAACCCAACCAACTGCACAAATAACTTGAATGACCCTAAAAATCCTTCAGTATTTTAGATCTGCAGAAAAACAATTCTAATAAAACATGCTCTGTCTGAAGTGATGGAATTATTAAGTTAAAATGATATGAACCACTTTACTTTGGCATCTCAGGAAGTGTTAAACTATGTTACTGTTATTACTGTCTCCATGATTTATAAAAAGCCATCTAAGTCAGCTCACAGCTGATAATGTAGGAAAAATGTCATGATATTTAGATATTTTCAGAAGAAACTTCTGCCTTTTGACAGACATGCAGTCTTTGGATGTACATTTAATAGGTACCATAGTAATTGAACTGGGAGAATTAATAGTGCATTAATAATGTAGTACAACATAGCAGTTGTCTCAAGAGAAAACAGACAAGAAATGAGATTAGAAGTGCATCCTTTGCTCCTGAGTTAGGAAAAAAAAAAAAAAAAACAAACCAAGCAAGCTGATCCAACTGTTCTGAGCTCTGCAAGATCTGATTTGTTTCCTGAATTCGGGCCTTCATTCTGGCCTGTCTGGTTCATGTGTTCACCAGTGTGTGGCCAAACACACCGATGGGCACTTTGCCTTTTTGGCAACACTTCTGAAGCTTTTCATTTTACCTTTAAGTCAACACTTTGTGTCGAGAAGCTTTATGGTTTGCTGACTCTCAGGAATCTAAAGTTAGCAACACATCCTACTTGCTCTGTGTGGAGCACCCAACACTGCAGCGTACACACAGCTTCCTCCCCAACCATAAAAACCCCAAAACATTTGTGATTTGATGCTGTAAAAATCTCTGCATACCTGCCACACTCCCACAATGGCATTGGCTACTAAAATAAGTAAGATTACAAAAGGCTCTACGAAGGCTGTGATTGTTTCTTCACCTTCTTCAAACCAGGCCAGGACCTGTAAGAGAAACACAACGATTTGAATTACTGATTGACACAGACACCTTGCAAACTTTACCCCTCGCTGAGTTTCAGCCTGAGAGATTCAACTGCTTGGACTTGGGCAATCTCAGAAGCTTCAACCTACCAAGTTGTAGTTTTGTAATTAGTGAATGAGTTGGCAATATGCAATGGAAAAGAAAAAGAATCTTTACTAAAGTAGTACAAAGTTCATTTTAAAGGCCACTCTTCTTTTAAAGGAATAAACTATTTACTTGGGAAACAATTGCTACTGTTGCTTCAGAAGCGAAAGCAGAAGTTGTGACAAGAGTTATGACAATGAAAAGAGAAAAAAATCCCTTACTGTATAAAACAGAATGTAGACAGATTAGTTAGACTACTTAAAACACAGACCTTGCCTGAATCTGAATTTTAGCCAAGTTTAATTTGCCCTTTACCAGCAACTTAGACAAAAAAATTAATGCAGCTTTACAAAGTTTTGTTGAGTAGATATGAAAAATAAGCATCTACTTATTTAAGTACAAGTAGTTTCTTACTGAAGCATCTAAGTGAATTCACTGAAGCTGAATTCTAAGCTGACAAAACTCAGTTTTTAAAGGTGAATCAACCTCAGGACTTGCATAAAAGGCATAAAATTCCATTTTCATTCATTTGCTTTACAAGTGCACTCTAGTTTTAGGCTTCTGTCATTCACTTGACTGCGTCAGGGCCTCTGCAGAGCTCTGCATCTCCTGAGGACAAGTCAAGCCAACATGGCCAGAGAGGAAGGGCTTTTTCATCAGCCTGTTGAGCAACAGGAAGCCTGGAAAGTGACAGTAAATAGGAACAACGTGTTGAGATAATTAGGGCTGGTAGTCAGGCAACAGCACAGTGAATCACCGAGGGCTGCAGAGAGCAAACTGTTACTAAAGCAGCACCAGAATTCCCCCAACATGCTGCTCTGAGCTATTGCTCAACTGAGAGACGCTCCAGGATGGGCAAAGGAAGGAGCAGCAGCAATGAAAGCCTCCAGCAGAAAGCAGACTGTCAAGAAAATCCAACGCTACAACCAGTTTTTATTACAAAAGGATAGACTTGTAAGATCCAGGCTGCGATTCAGGGGACTGAGACGTTCCAACTGGCAACACAACGTATTGAGGGGCTGGGTAGTTCCTCTGGAGAAGGGCTTTAGTCAGGATCTCTCGTGTTCTCCACATCTTGGTGTTTCTTCCCTCCTCCCACACCCCTGGATATCCAATCCCCTCTAACACCTTCTGCCATTTGAGCTCCAGGAGAAGTCAATAGTACGTTTCCAGACTTCTCAGTGTCTACAAGGCCACACTCTGCCATCAGAAAACCTGCTTGGTGTCTATTTCTTCCCTCCTTTACTGGAATTCTGTAGAACCCCTGTTTTGCTTCCAATAAAGCAAGTAAATTCAATTATTTTGGGATGTTCTCATCTGAGCAGGCACCTACAAGGTTAACTGGAATAAAACATCTGCTTTACAAGATGCTAAACCAGAATCTTTCCTGATTGAAGCCCACGTGTGTTATAAAGTAACACTGAGAGAGGCCACAACTTCCAGAGGCGAGGAAAGCAGCTGCAAGGACAGCAAGATCCAAGTGTGTCAAGGAGAGCCAAAATTAAGTTTTCAAGGGATCTTTACTTTCAATAAGCCATTATTTCAAAAAGAGCAGATGAACTCAAATTGGAGATCCTGAGGGTACTGAATCTGATGGTTGTTTTTCTGGCAAAAGTATCGATCCGCGACAAGACTGAAATGAAGTATCTAATTAATCCCGGAAGCCAGCAATACAAATTTCTGCCCCCAAAATTTTCCACACGGTTACTAACAGTGGAACAATCCAAACTCTACTTCTAGAACATTTTAGTAAACAGACACATCAAAATAACTGAATACACCGCGAGTTCTTGGTTTTGTTACAGCAGACCACAGCTACATTAACACCCCATTTAGGATACTTGTGACACACAGCACACGCTGCTTAACAGATCAGGTTTATTATGTGATAGTAGCCTGGAGTAAAATAAAAAACAACCCACAGTGAAAACAAAGAGGAAGCAGAACAAGCAACACAAGTGTTTTTAGTAACAACAACCCATATTCTGAAGCCTGGTAAAGACTAGACAATTCTTGTCCAAGTCATCGAGTCCTTGTCAAAAAGTTTCCACTAGCACACTTTTAAGACCCTGGAGAGGTTTACAATGAGAGATCTTTTTTTTTTTTTTTTTTTTTAACTTCTACTCAGAAGGGCCCCCTCCATATTTCAGCCCTAATCACTTTAAGTCTCACATGTAGAACAGCTTAATTTCCAGGTCATTGATCTCCAATGCGCTGTTCAGGCACTACTGTCAATGAGTAAAGTCATCACGTATTTAAGAAAGAGTAGGAAAAATAAGATAATCGCTTGAGAGAAATTCAAACCTAAAACCATGAGGGAAATAATAGCAAGACATAAGAGTCCCATATCAACAGCCAACATAAGCAGCTTAAAGGACAACTTTCATTCAGCATATTTGCTTTAGGGCTGCCAGAGCTTGCAGAGCCTATTTTAAACAAAGCCTAATGGGGTGGACCTGCAGGACCCTAAGGCAGAAGATACACAATGACAGGCAAACAGCACTGAGTTTTCAGGGTTATTTGTGAAAAGGGGGCAGAGGGGCAATGCCAAAGTCAGCCAGCAATGAGGTGGCCACTGCTGAAAACACCACAAGTGTCCTCACAGCTTTCTCCACTTCCTCGAGTGATGGTACCTTACGGAGACAAGTTACCCCAGGTGTCATTAAGTAACAAAAACAGAACTAAAGAGTGGAAGTTTGGAGGCAGGGCCGCGTTGCCCAGCAGGCTGTACCCGCTCGCCACCAACAGAGGAAAAGCAAACAGGTCGTTGTCAGCAACCTCACAGGGCTTTCTGTTTGGTTTTCATTTTGACAATGGAAACTCAGGGAGTAAGACCTCATCCTAACAAAGAGCCCTGGATTAATTAAACAGGCCAAGCAAGACGTCCAGATTGCCTTTAAGAGAGCTTTCTTCTCACAGGATACCACGAAGTAAAGTTTTAGTGTGTTTTGGACAGAGTACCAACTACTGCTCAGAAAACCCTCTTTTAAGTGATTTATCTTTTCAGTACAAAACAGCTTAAAATTAAGCCGATGTGAACTATTTTAGGAGTCCTGATACTTGGTCCATGTCAGTTATATTGAGTGCCAGGAATTACTAAAGAAAAATCTCCCAGTTTTAGTTCCATTATTCAGCAGAGATTTTTGTTTGCTACACAAGGAGAGAGGAGGGAAAAAAAACACCAAAAAACAAACACAAACCAAGACATCTTAACCACATGTGTAAATATAAAATTAAGAATTTTGTTGGGTTAGCAGACTGTGAACACTCATCAGATCCCTTACTCCATACTTCTGAAAATATTTTTGTGTTTATTATAGAAATAAGGGGGGGGAAAAGATTCCTAGCACCCAGTTTAATTTCTACAACATAAAATGAAATCACAATGACTTCTCACAATTTTATCACCGCTACCCTTGTGCTACTGAGCAATCTAAGTTTAGCTAAAAGCATGTCAGTGTAATGTTCCACAGCAACCCTTATCTTGTGCCACATACTCACTGCTGATGACCTTAACAGGTAGCTTTTGGGGTGATTTCAGGGCAAAGCTTGAAACATTGTTGCTGACACATCTCAGACTTCCTCCAGGAGGACCTTTGCTCCCTTTTTAACACTAGTTGGGTTATACTCATGCTAATTTACCAGCTAGAAAAATCTCTGTTTTAACAATATACTGTTTTAATCTGAACACAGATACCCACTATTCCCAGGACATTCACTTCTAAGTCAGCTTAGGAATCAAAGGAAAAAAACTGAGGGGAGGGAATGCTCTTGGGATACTGTAAAACACTTCAGGTTTTGGCAGAGTTTATAGCCTGGGTAGTATCTTGTAGAAGGAAATCACAGTGCGATGCAAAGCTAAGATTGCACAGCTCAGCACACACCACTGCCTAAAGCACCCACACCACAGAACTATCCCACATCACGTCCAGCTAACACCTTGCAACCTGTCAAAATCGTTTATACAGCAAAGAAAGCTGTTCTTTTCAGTAAATACTGAGGATCTGAGTACATGCTACACACGTATCAAGAATGAAAAGCCACAAACCGCTGAGACACACTATGGGTTGATTTCTGCAGAGGCTTCGCAAGATTCAACAGAAGACCGGGACAAGTCTATTCACAGATGCATTTACTCACCATCAGAAATGATTTATATTGTTTCTCTTCAAAGGCCAGACTTAAGGCTTGCACTAACCAGCACATCTGTAGCAGCAGCTCTGACCTGGAATGTGGGACGTGGCACCAGCAGCATCTGCCCCCAGCCGTCAGCCGGGGTGACACAGACCCAGCTGCCGGTCTGAGTCGTTTCACTGACACGTCCCTGACAGGCAGGGTGGGAGCAGAGGGCACACAAGATCTGAACAAAGGGGTTTATACTGTACAGAAGGGATGATGGTTCTGCACAAAAACCTAATGCAGATCTCTGTTACAGATGGTTGTTTCTGTGCAGCCGGTTCTAATAGCTACAAACTAATATGATTTATGACTGCACCACCATCACCATAAAAACTCCCACAACATGAAACAGTGACTTCAAGATCCTCTCCTACCTGAATCTCCATCATTTTCTTAAATTGACAATATACAACTGATAAAGGACACCAGAATCTAAGTGATGTAATTACTTCTATTTTTGCAGTAATACAATCTTTATATCAACATATCCAACAGTTCTTTACAGCTACTGCAGAAGTCTCATGAAAAAAAAGAAAAAGCTTTCATCAAGAAAACTGTTAAAACCTAAGAAAACCAGACAGATAATCACCTTCTGAGCAAGGAAAAAGCCAGAAACAAGCACAAAGGCAAAATGCTTTTGATCTATCAAAATTATAATATATCTAGGGATTTCCTGCATTTCATCAAACAGAGAAAATCTCTACTACTGACATCAATTTAGTGTAAATCCATAACTAAAATAGGAGACAGGAAAGGCAGAGCAGTAGCCCAAGGTCATATACCATGTCAGCTGCACAGAAGCAGAGAACCCAGATCTATCCCACACTCCATCAAACTCCAGTCTCCTCTTAATTAGATAGGAAAATTAACCATCCTGAAAAAAGCAACTGAATTCAGCCACTAATCAAGTTTTCCAAGAGGACTCAGCAGTGTATGTTCTATGACCTCTGCCAGCCTGGTCTCTTACTTACTCAGATTCAGCAATGAAAGCTTAGTTTGGTGAATTTGATATTTATTTCACTTACTTGCTTAAAATGAAAACAAATAATGCACCTTGGCACCAAAGGCTAACAAACTTCTGTGCTGTCATTTACCTCATGAGATGACAGCAACACTCCTGACTTTTCAGGAACAAAAATACATCCCCTTCTCAACCTCTAGGAGGGGAAAAGGGCAAAGAGGAGGGGGGGAAAAAGCTTTTGAATGACCTTTAATTCAATTTTCTACAACCAGCTTGATTTCCTCTGCAGGAAACAGAACAGTGAGTAAAGCACATCTGTCTCCATGGTCAAGATTGGTGTCACCAGTCATTGCTCAGCTGGTAATGGTGTATTGCAGACCAAAACCAGAGAAGTGTCTCTGTGGGGAGAGTGGATCACCAGCACAGCACAAACTGCAGCACCACACCAGGGCACTTTCCCCCATCCAACACAATCGCCTCAGAGCACATTCTCCTCTGCCCATCCTAATTGGTTTGCCCTCAGCTAAAGAGTCACCACAATTTCCACTCCCCCCAAGAGCTGCTGCAGCATTTATTTATTTTTTTTTAAGTAGTTAATTACAACTCCAGGGCAAAGTCTACTGTAAACTTGTACTCCTACCTAAACAATTTAATATTCTGCACACTCCTGTTTCTGTTGTCCAGCTCCCTCAAGACATACAGACTTCATCTTCTTCCTATACTTAGCCTTGGCTCAGTTTTCCAGCGAGCACATACCCATTACACATAATGCAGAAAGACTTATTAAAAAAAAAAAAAAAGTTAAAAACGTTCTTGTTCTTTTAATTCTGTAAGCAAAGGAAGATGTCCATTTAATGACTTGACCATCCAAAGGTCAGTTACCAAATTTGGTCAACTATGGTGCCATCACAGCCGTCATCATTCTTGTCACTGTCAAAAGCAACAACTGTCACCTTGCTATTATCAGGAAGGGAAGGCAACTGGAATATTCGCCATGGAGGTTCTATTTACAGTCTGCATTGCATCCAAAAATGTCTTCCAATGATTATACATCGAGCCTGATAACAATTAACCCACAGGCAAGTAGAATGTCCAGTTAAACACTTACTTACTCAAGGTTAGTTTTCAAAACCAACAAAAGCATTGGGAAATCCCACCTCAAATAAGCAAACTGGGTTGAATGAGAAGCACTTTTTGACATACCTGTCTAGTGCAGTTATGTGCTTATGACTCATGCAGTGAAAAGAGTCTCCTGAAATTTTGTTTCCTACAGAAACCCTATCGCAAGGAACAAATTTAAGAGGCAGCAATTTACTTTGCATCTCATAATTCTACCTCTTGAGAAAGAATAATTCTCTCTGTATACACTGGAACATGTCATTCTGAGATTCAGTAGCCTATGAAATCAAAAAGAATAAATCATACTTACAAAAGATATGCAAGCAGCCAGCAACAAAATTCTAACTAGTAAGTCTTCAAATTGCTCGATCACAAGCTCGAGTAAGGTTTTTCCTGCAATATGTAACAAAGCCATTTAGTAGTGCACGTTGAAAAAAAAAAAAAGATGAATTATCAACAAGAATTAGGAGAAGATTTCACAAACGTGCTCACCTTCCTCAGCTGGCAACTCTGTCGGTGGAAGGTTTTTCCAGGAAGCATGTCAGAGGAAAGAAATCATTGAAGAAACACGTTAGAGCGTTCTAAGGCATCCACCAGGTATTGTTCCTGAATTACACACTCAGCTGGGCTGGATTTGACAGACACTCTGAAAGCCACAATAAGGTGGCTCTTTTCACCACAGTATGTGAGCGGGCCCGAGAGTTTCGCGTTTTAAGACACAAAGGTTGGCCGGAATGTGCCAAGGGTTATAATTCAGCCAAGTCATCACTCCAGCCAGCTGTGGGGCTTGTGCTGTTGCTGCACACAAAGGGTCAAAGGCTCAAACTGCTTTTCAAACGCTTTCTGACAAATCTTTTCCTCCACATTCACTTAAAAAAAACCACCCCAAACCGTCAAACTTGGTTCAAAAGGTTTCAAGTTCTTTCCTCCATTTTAAGGGTATTTCCTTATTTCTGCTCTCCCCTTTAATTCCCCGCAACTAGATTTAGTAATCCAAGAGGCATAAAAGCAGCGTTAAAGCTAAAAAAAAAAACCACCTCCACCGTATAATCTTCTCACAGATTTTCAATTTCACACAACGGCACGCGAGTTCAGAAGGGACTAGGACGGCCAAGCAGTAAGGATTAAAAAAAAAAAAAAAAAAAAAAAAAAAAAAAAAAAAAAAAAAAAAAAAAAAAAAAAAAAAAAAAAAGGAACACCTTATCGGCTGAATTCTATGTCCCGACTGGAGAGAAGAACATAAAATAAGGGGCAAAAAGGCGCTGAAAAGCGAGGAAAAATGAAGGTCAAGACGGATAAAAAAAAAATATAAAAATACTAAACCCCAAGGGGCGTCAATTCAGAATGGAAGGAGGTTTCCCACCGTTAAGGTGAAAGGGATCGGAGGTGACATCCTCCATCCCAGAGCAGCCCCGTGAGCTCGGGATTGAAAGAAACCCACGAGGTGGAGTTCAAGTCAGCCATCTTCTCTCCCTCGCTCCTATTCCGGGTCCTGGAAGAGATGCCGGCTTTGCCAGTGCACACGCGTTAGGCCTCGCACAGGGCCCCGGGAAGGATGGGGGAGAGGAGAGAGGGGTGGGAGAGGGAGCCGAGCGGGGAGAGGGCGAGGCCGGCGGCAGCATCCCCGCGGCGGGGCCGCCTCACCTACCGTTGGAGCCCCATTTCTCCTTCAGCTTCTTGACTTGCTCGAGGCTGAGCCCGGTGCTCTCGTTGACGCCGAAATAAGCCAAAACTTCCTCCACAGTCTTTGTGTGCGCGTTCTCCATGGCCGGGGCAGGGAGCAGCAAATGGTGCCGTGCCTCGCCTCTTCCTCCTCCCTCTCCTCCTCCTCCTCCTCCTCAGCGGCGGCGGGCGCGGCGGCGAGACCCCTGCTCAGCCCTCACCACCCCCGTGCTACCACCATAGACCCTCTCCCGCGACAGGGCAGCCCGAGCCCACCTCACTCCTCACGGCGGAGGCCAGGAGGGGCAGGAAAAAAAAAAATGAAAAAAAAAATCAGAGAAAAAAGGGAAAGCCGCCGGAAAAAAGAAAAAAAAAAAAAAAAGCCCCCACCCCCTCCCACCCCACACGCCTCCGAGGGAGCCGAGCCGCCTCTCCGGCGGGGACCAGGGGCTTCGGCCGGGGGGGAGCCGCGGGCCCCCGGAGCCGCTGTCGTCTCGGGGGCGCGGCGGGTCCCTGCGGCGACGGGCCGCGTCCAGGTGGCCGAGCGGCCTCTCCGCTCGCCTTCAGCGGCCCCGAGCCACCCCCGGCAACGGGAGGGCGATAACGGCGAGGCGCGGGGGGGTGGTGTGGGGAAGAACAAGGCGCAGCCGCCCCGCTGCCCACGAAGGCTCGGAATCACGCCCTCCCTTCTCTAGTGGCCCGATGCTCCCCCCGGCCGGCCCAGGCCGCTAGTCGCCGTCACGGTTCGGGCTCCCCCGCGCCCGCCGATGGCTCCGCTCGCTCCGGGCGCGCAGCGGCGGCGGCCGCTCTAATGTAACTCGGGGGCCGCCCGGGCCGCGCTCGCCGCCGCGGCATGTGGACGCCGCTCATTGGCGGGGCCGCGGCGAGGGGCGGGGCCAGCGCTCGGCTCCGCCCCCGCCGCGCTGAGGCGATGGCCGTGGCGCGGCCGCTGCGCAGCGCGAGCCGTTCTCCCTCACGGCGCTCGGCGCCTCACGCGGCGGCGGCGGCGGCGCTTCCGCAGCGCACCGGGACGGCCCCGCTGCCCCCGCGTGAACCGCCCTCTTGTGCCGGCCCCATCCCGCGCCCGAAGGGGAGCGGGGCTGCACCCCGAGGGGGAGCTGCCGCCGCGCTGTCGCGATAGGCGTCGCGGCGGGGCTGGCGCGGGGCTGCAGCGGCGCGTGTCGGGAGCGCGTGACGGGAGCGCCAGCCGTCCTGTGAGGGCTGCCCTCAGCGCTGTCGTGACACGAGCTTCATCCAGGCAAAGGGTGGGCGTGGGGTTGCCCCCACCTCAGTCATAATAGGGACATCGTCCATTCAAAGGGTGAGTGTGGGCCTGCCCCCACCTCGGTCGTGACAAGAGCACCAATCCAGGCCAAGGGGCTATGGGGGCCTGGCGCAGTCTGTCGCGACAGGAGCATCATCCAGTCAAGACTGGTAGTGTGGTGTCTGTCCCTAACTCAGTCGTGACACGAGCATCATGCAGTCAGATTGTGTGTGAGTACAGGTTGCCCAGGGAGGGCAGCTCTCTGGAAACATCCCAAACCCACCTGGACGCGTTCCCGTGCCACCTGCTCCAGGTGACCCTGCCTTGGCGGGAGGTTGGACTGGATGATCTCCAGAGGTCCCTTCCGACCCCATAGACTCTGTGACTCTGTGGGGCTGCACCAGGCGCTGTCGTGACAGGAGCCTCACCCATCACGAGTGCGCAGAGGTGAGGGCCGTGTCCCTGCGTGTCCCCTTGCCCAGCGGTCCTGCCCTGCGCTGGCACAGAGCAGTGTCCTTTCCACAGCTCCCCCCATTCCCATCGCACACATCCCAGTGACAGCACACTCAGCCCCGGCTCGCGCGGCGATAACGTGAGGAGGAATGAGCTGCAGGGTGTGATTTCAGCGCCGTGTGTGGGGTGAGATCCCAGCTTCCCTCGGCGCCGTATCTCGGCGCTGATACAGAACACGGAAAACTGCCTGATCCCGCCATCCCACCCAGCAATTCACAGGCACCTCAATGAACACAAAACAGAGAGAAATCAGTGCCAACTGACATTAATACACCTGCAACACACACACAACCCAGTGAGTAATTCAACACATAGTGTAAATACCATCCCTTTAAAACTTGGTGCCAAGAGATGTTCTTGTATATATATGCGTGTGCAAATAGAAAAGCTCATCCCTACATGTGTGCTGGCTTACATAAATGCAGATCCTACATACAATCTGCATTTCCATCACTTATAAACCACCCACAGCACCACGCTATAAGAAACTGTATGTCTGATCTGGAACGAAATACCTCAGTCTTGTCTCTGTGTTAGCAAAAGGAGGATGGAGAGGGGACACCCCATGTAAAATTATGATGTTTTAAGGTCTATGTGGCCCTACATCCTTTCTAACAAAAGTACAACTGCTCCAAAAGACTCCTCTGTGGCTGGCCAAGGCCCAGGGAAGGAGGACTCAACAGCCTACACTTCACAGGGCAGGTCTGAATGAAAATTCATGGGTTAGATCTGATGACCTAGTTCAGGTAAGGCAATTACTTATTCCATGCCATGCCCATATTAATTTCATCTTGCTTATCAGCAGGATTAATCAGCATGGCCAAATGTTGCCTCGGTACAGTTATGTTCCTTTTCATACCACAGCCTCACTCGGCACCTAAACAGACATAGCCTGTTACAGGGGTAAAGAATGTCAACGTGGCACTTGCACATAGTTCATACAGTTTACTGTATGTTTCTTAACCAGTTGTAATAGTTTTCTTGATAAATTATGATCCCATCATCCCATGATCCCATCATCCCCAAACCAAAGCCAAAGTCACAAGGTGCACATGCATCTGAAATTAAAACAATATATCTTGGAAAATATGCACTCAGTCCCAACAAAACTGCTGATAAACCCCTGCCACAGGCCTACCTAACCCACACCTGAGTTTTTAGTATCCTCTAACGCACAAGTATATGCATATGCAACGTTAAAACCCGCATAATTTCCACAGTGATCATATACAGGATAACACCAGCGACTTGAATTAACGTATTTCACTGATTAACAGCACAGTGAGTAGTTTCTTCCCTTCTACCAAGTTAATATATCCTGCATTATGTTTAAGTTCTTTTTAAAAATACATTTACCACAGCAGTATTTTTACACACAAGCACGTTTAAAAGCATTCATATACAAGAGCACCTGCAAAAGACTTGAAACTCCCACTTTCATTTTCTTACTATTTTTAAGCATTACAATTAAACATCGGTAGCAATTTGCAAAACAAAATGATATTAGAAAGAATCCCAGATCATATTTCATATTATTTCTCCCTGTGATATACTTCTTATGTCATTCTTGGGTTCCTTTTTGTGCCTGTCTCCAAAAAGGCTCATGGAAAAATATTTTAAGCATACCAGAGCCATGGCATGTGCAACCAGGGCTTGGCAGAGTGTAGGATAAAGTAGATACGGTGTTCTTTCAGTCTAACTTGTTAGCAGGAGGAAAATGAAGCTAGGAAGGTGAAGAGAGCTTGCATTCTGGTGAATCCTGGAGAACTCTTGGGATTCTCTGGGATCCACTAGTTCAGCCAGGGTTTGTAAACTCCACTCCCATTGTTTCTCTCTCGTGCATTAATATTAGATGACTTCATTCTTCCCCTTTTTTTCCCATCTTGAGCATAGACCCATCATAAAATCTGGAAAGATTCTAGGCAGTCCTCTGCCTGTGTTTCTCTCTGTCACGTGTTGTGTTATGGCTCAGGGAAATTTGAGAGAAGAATGACTGAATTAGGGACCGTTCTTTCTCCTCCAGAGCAGAGCAACCTCTGCGTTTCCTTCACCATCGTTTCCCCGTCTTTCCCCAGATGTGCAAGACTGATCCTGCTGACCAGTGAGGATTTCTTTGCAGGTGGCACCTTCCAAATCTTCTGGCAGCCACACTCTTGAAGAACATTTGCAGATACAGTGCTTGGTCTAGACAGAACAGTGCAGAATGCGCTACAAATACCCGTGTAGACAGTGCCGCAGAATCAGTACCTGCTAAATTTGGCATCGCTTGATATCCTACAAATTTAGAATTGTGAGTTGAAATCAGTCTTGTTTCCCATCGCCCTGCAAGGATTCGTGAAGCTTCTGATGACATTTGCCTTGTCTCTTAAAGAGGATGGTTATCCTGACCCAAATCAGAGTGACAGCACCTCAACTCTGCCTGAAGCACCAAGCCCATGAAAGCTCCAGGTGATTCATACTCCCAGCAGGTGCAGAGAGCTTTGCATTCTCCCTTCATAAGGAAGGAAAGTCCATTTATTTTGCCCCTCTGAAGCTGCAGTTTGGTTTTTAGACTGGAACCCCTCGGTGTGGTACCTCAGAAAGCAACACAACAAAATGGGGCAGCTTTGGCCTTGATGAAATTCCATTCCCATAATGGAAGGATACATTCAGACATTTGGCCTACTATCTTTTTTCCCCGTAATATATTAAGAAGAAGCAGCCAACACATCAGGCAGCAGCATTAAAACAGTTCCTGTAATGCTTACTAATTGAAGTAAATGGGAATTTGGCCTGAGAGAGGACTGCAGGATGCTTTCCTTCAAACTGCAATAACATTAAGTCATCCCTATTGCTGCAAAGCAGATTCACAGCAGAGTTACTGGTCGTAATGTGAATTGTCTCTTGCTGTACACAAAAACATATGTTTTGTAGCTCCATTTTCAAACAAGATTAATAGTTTTGAGTGGAGCTGAACACAGCACAGAAGGGCACCACACAAAATGCCAGTTGTTGAGCCAATACACTTGAATGCTGACCTGCAATAGCCTTATTATTCCAGGCCTGGATCTCTTTCAGTGCACGTAGACAAAGTGATCATATTCTGCTTAATTGTGCCAAATTATGTCATGATTTTTGCAGCCTGGCTAATTGCCTGATGGGGCTTAGGCTGAGACCACCAAACTCATAGCTCTTGTCTCCCCAGCTGATTCCAAATCCAAAGTCTTCATGAGTGACAAATGGGGGCATTGTTTCTTCCTCCCACAGTGCTATTTTATTCCTCTGAAATTACAGTTATTAAAATGTTTCAGCCAGTTGAAATCTACTCAGGCACATTAAAATGCTGCAAAAGTGCTGTATCAAAGTGGAAAGGTTTTAAATCTGCAGTTCTGTCATAGGATAATGCAGTTTAAATATAGTAACTGTTTTTTCCAGTCAGCTTGCTCTTTGATTTCATGGTATTATGTCAAGGGTTTTTTTTTCCCTCTCTCCCCCTTTAAGAAGCTTATCGCTTAAACAGCAAAATGCAAAAAAAATCCTGACATGAAACAATCACACAAAGCCAGCAGAGAAATCAGTGATAAAATACAAGTTTTAATGTTGACAATTAAGGTGATCTGAGTTTACTCTGAATAATTTTTATTCCTTGGCAATGTGTGTTCCTGGATCAGCAGCAGGTAGAATTTGACTTCCACAGAGACCAAGAGAATGGTGAACACAAAGGATGGTGTTGCTGCTGGGAGATTTCCAGAACTGGATCGCTGTTCCTGCGCAAAACAGCTCCTTGGTGCCTTGGAATTCTGATCTCAGTGACAGTAACTATAAGAGATCACAGTTTGGATGGTACATCTCTTATTTTATTTCTTTATCTTATTTATAGTCATTTGGGTTGTTGCTGAAGGCTCCAATAGAGTATTTGCCACAATAATCTCCATTTCCTTTCTTGGAACAATCTTTCTGTCTATCCCATTCTGATGTCAGTAGGAGATCTAAAAGGATAGGAAAAAGAAACATTATGTCAG